AAAAAAAAGGATCAGGAGAAAAAGGTCTAACTTTTGAGGTAAAGCTTTATAAATATAATATGAAATCACATACTATAGTAGCAGCTTGATTGGGCGGGGGAGGTGCACAGAGTTGTGCTGGAAGAGTTTATTGCAAAATCATCACAGACGTAAGGATGTGACCTAACTCCTGGGGTTAGCATTGTTTTATCAGGATGATATTCCAGTTACTATCCTAACACGGTTGTTTGACATGCATGATAACCTAAGATTTAATTATCTAGGTGGGGTTTTTATATTCTGCACACACACGCACGTGCGTGTGTGTGTGTGTGTAGGGGGGCTTCTTGGGTATATTAAACCTGTTTTAAAAATCCTTGCAGCAGCAGGACATTGGCTACTCTTCCTCCACGGCTTTACTTGTGGCAGATAAAGTGTGTAAGATAGTTTTGATAGGGATGATCCTGCTTTGGGGAGGGGGATAGGACTAGATGATCTCTGAACAGCCCTACTTTCCTCTGTATCTGTTTGTAATTGAGTGACATGTCATTCACTGCTTCTGAAGTATTGTAAACTAAAATTTTAAAATAAGAATATAAAAATTATTGAGCCATAAGATTGCTTTAAAATGTATATAATTATAACATACTTTCCTAGATACATTTGATACTTTTTTGTAGCTTAAAAGCTCTTTCAGTTGTAAATCTGAATCTTTTAATGTCTGTATTGGCCACTGAGTGCACCTCTCTTTGGAAAGTAACTGAAGTTCAAATAGAAAAGTTCATTTAAATAAATTATTCAGGCTTAGGTTTTCCACTTGCTGATTTAAATTGCCTTAATTTCTAAATCAAGACATCCTATCTGATCTCTTGAAGGATTCCTAGTGCTGGTTTTGTTAACAGGCTGGCGCTTGTTTAAAAAATGGATGATATTTCAGTGTAACCTCTTCTTCCACCCTCTTTCCCTCCCATTTTATTATCTTATTTGAGCCAGTCATAACAAGTTTCATCTTGGTTATGGGCATCACATTTTATACTTTCACAACATCCCATACTTACTGTTTTTTGTGCCATTGCGCTAACTGGGACTATGTAATAAAAATAGGTGTTCCTTACATGTAGAATACATTGTAGTCTTCCATGAGAGAACTCTCTGGGCAGAATAGGAATCGTAGACTGAAGTGGATCAAATAAATTGAGAGCAACTCCATCCCCTCCTGCCAGTGACTGAAAACATCCCATTAAAACCTCAGGTTCAACTAAATGAAAGGTAGTTGGCTGATCTGATTTTTAAAACCATTGGAGACTCCTTTGTCTGTTCATCTGTTGCTAGGAGCGGCGTTACCCAGAAGACCACTAAGGAAGTCAAGTGCCACAGAGCTGGTAGTATATTTATCTTATTCTTTTTCAGGTAACATGCTTCAGATGCTCTCTGATAGCATCTTGAAGGGGATACAGTTATCCAATTTAAACCCAAGATTTAATTTTCGTAAAAATTACTTTAACTTAAACTCACGTTTAACCTAATAAAAGTGCAGTCTAGAAAGTTAAGACTTTCTCCAGTTCTGTGAGATTTGTTTGAATTTGAACCTTTCTACAACTTGTACATTCTAGTTTGGGCTGCTGCGTGACAATAGAAAAGATATTAAGGGGTCTTAACTGAATTTTGGTGTTTGTTTGCTTCATTTCTGCACTTGATTAATAGCTGAGTCACAGCAATAATGGGTAAAATATTTAAATATTTTAAAGTATTGGAGAGAAGACAATTATTGTAGTAGTGGGGGTTTAATATCAGTTTTCTTGCATACGAAGCACACTTTTTGGAAAAAATCTGGTTTTGGGGACTGGAGTGCACATTTTAAGTAAGAAAATGTAATAATAGCAGTTTCTGCAACATAAGCCTCTGACCTGGGAAAGAGTGCCAGTAGTCAGCAGCTAGGGCACCCTGAGTTCTCACTGTGCTGCCCCTTGCACAGCACTAGCAGTGTTACTTTTTCCCTCTCACACCTCCCTGCTCAGCTCAGCTTGAAAAGAGAAGAGAGACTGGGCTGTTTGACTCAGCTAGCAGCCCCTGTGCCATCCTGCTGCCAGAGGGTTAAGGGAGCAGCCACAATGTTTTGTGCCCTCTTGCCCCCCACTTCTGCTGACTTAAGCAGCCTGTATTTCTCTGGGGTAAATACCTTATTTAAGATCTTTCTTTTTTGGTCCTCATTTTGCCATTCAAAAACAAGATGTCTGTCTTGCTCAGGGGAGTGCTGTGAGTGAGAAAATAGGGTGTGGTTGTTTTCAAATTTGACTATCCTATCCATGTTGGTGTAGAGTAAGGGTTGGTAATATATGACCAGTACACTGGATCTTGCCTGCAGAGCTGGAAGGATTCAGCAGCATTCTGGTAGCAGGAAGCATTGCCTGTGTTCATGCTGGGGCTGGGTGGCAATTGCCTGTGCCCATGCCATTGCTGGGGTTGAGGAGAAATAACGGGAAGAAAAAGTGGCCTCAGTGGAATGGGAATACTAGCCTGCCTCTGGACCTGAGTTGTGTTGCTATAACCTGTGGCTCTTAAACATTGCCAGCTGCTGGTGTGGAGGAAAAAAATGTCTTTGTACTTACTATAGATGAATACTATAAAACTGTAAAATGTTTTTATTCCTAGTTCCATGTGGATGGTTTAGTTTGAGCGGCATCTTGCACCCCACTGATTCAGAGTTCAAAGTTCAGAAATTGATTCAAGCTCCCATGGTGTGAACTGGAGGAGGAGGTGGTGTGATTCGGGTAGGTAACTTGTATTTTTTTCCTCCTCAATATGTCCTTTCCATTGGTACATTTCTTGTTACTCTAATCATTTTCCAGGTGCATTAAAGGGGTATACCTTTTTCTGATCCTACACCTTCATCATCATTTTTATTGGCCTTTCTGAACAATAAAAGAGTTTTTTGTGGGTTTTTTTGAGTGGGGAGAATAAAGTCAATTCTTGCTAACTTAATAGAATCCAGAAGTATGGAACAAGTGAGAATAGTGGCTGCAGTCCAGCAAGTAATTTTAAATAACTTAGAGGTTCTGCACCTGTTTATGTAGTAATTTTGAATATGTAGGACCTGTGTTGATAACAAATGAATGCTTAACAGCATATTCTTAGTTCTTGTATGCAATTTTTGTAGTTTTAAAATTGTTACCTTCTGTTCTATATGCAGATTTATTATATAGACAGACTCTTCTCCATTGAACTAAGATTCTGTTCAGAATTACTTGTTTGTACCTTTTGCATTCCTTGTGAAGTAGCAGTCCAGTTTTTGATAACTTTGAATCTATAGGTATCTATATCTCAACTTAAGTGGCTTAGTAGAAGCAATGAATTTCAAACAACTTGCCCAGTTTAAGTCCTCAGGTTAAAGTGACAAAAAGGCTGCCAAACTAGCCAAAGGTAAGAGTTGATAAGAATTTGCTTGTTGTATAGCTAGACCTTTGCTAACAAGCACATGTTGTCTTATTTATGCATAGATGCTTACCTTGGAGAGGAATAATATAACACTCATAGCTCATTAGTAGTAGTTCACAGACTGGAAAAGCATATAATGTAATAATGAAGCTGGAAGTTAAAAGAAGCAGTGCCAAGTGTTGATGTAGAGGTGGTTCATTTCTGTTTTGTATTATGTTGGTTCATATTTCCTACTCTCTTTGGGGATACAGTACTTCCCTAGAGCCTCATACAGTACAAGTGAACTTAAGAATAAAGAAGCCAGGCAGAAGGCAGGGTAGAGTTGCTCCTTATAGACTAGACTGATGATGCATCAAAGGCTAGATCTGATTCAGTTAGTCTATAAGGTGCAATTCTACCTTGTCTTCTACCTGACTTGACTAATATTGCAAACTACCTTTTTCTACCAAATAAAGTGATAGCTTCAGGGCATCAAAACCAGAATATTTTACTTGGAATAAAACCTTTATCTGTAAGTTTAATTCTAAATTAACCCATCTAATTTCCATATTATTAGTTTAATTTATGTGAAGAATAGTATAGTCCTACCCATATTTCATTTTGAATAGGTGCTTAATCTAAAGATGGCTAGTCAGTGACAAATCTGACATTGGCTTCTGTCCTGATTAAAAAGCCGCCCAAACATGTTTGTGTGATAAATCTAAGTGGTGCATAAGGATAGGACTGGGAATCAGAACTGGATTCTGTGCTTGGCTCTTCTGCAGATTTATGATCACAGAATTAGGTGTCTCAGGTGCTTTTAGAAGCAGGTATGAGTGCTTTACTACATCACAGAGGTCTTGTGAGGCATAATCAGAGTTTCAGAGTGCTTTGAAATTCATGGATATGAGCTGCCTGGTGTTGATTTGGTATTCCATAGATGTTTTAGTGTAAAGTTTTAAAATTCATTGCTTTCTGGGAGAGAAGCCATAATTTGCCATGTTGTTAAACTTAGAATTCAGTACACTGCTAAACTTTTAGATCCAGTTTGGATGAAGTATGTTAACAGTATTTATTGGTGCTAAAAATACAAAGAGGAAATATCTTTCCACAATATTGAAACAAATAAATTATTTTTTGTGCACTACCAGGATGTATGAAATAAAGTTAGTCCTTTCTCAGCATTATCTGAAGGAAATTAAAGGCAAAATATTAAAACATAGGACTTGCTATGCCTTTTGCAGCCTCTAGGTTGAATTTAATATAGCATGTATTACTTAGTCAGTAGTTCGTAAAGGCTTTTGAAAATTTTCATAGATTCATAGATGTTTGGGTCGGAAGGGACCTTAACAGATCATCAAGTCTAAACCCCTGCCCTGAGCAGGAAAGAGTGCTGGGGTCAGACAACCCCAGCCAGGTGCCTGTCTAGTCTCCTCTTAAAGCCCTCCAAGGTAGGGGAGACCACCACCTCCCTGGGAAGCCCATTCCAGATTTATCCCATGTCAGCCCATTCCAGACTTCAGCTATATAGAATATTGAAGTTTGCTTTTTCAGTGCAATGTCTAATATTTTGTACTCTGTGTTCTCTACTGACTGAAGTTTCAAGGATCTAAACACGCTTTACAGTCATGCATGGCTTGGAGAGGGATGCCATTTCTAGCTATCCCCTGCCTTGCAATCAACACCACAAGCCTTAATTTAGAATAGCTTGAGTAGGAAGGGTCCCCTTTTTTTATCCTGTTCACTTGAGGATTATTTTTTTTGGCACTTTCTACTCGAATACTGCTTCCAGGAATCTCAGGTTTTCTGGCAGAGCTTTATTCTCTTCAGTATTGTTCAGCTGGGACAAAGAGAATTGGCTACTAGAGAATTGGTGCAGGCAGACTTACTTTTCATTGCTTTCTTTGGTTTCAGGCCTCTTAGCCAACTGCAGTTTGGTTCAGAAATATATGTCCCTAGTCCTTGAATTTAGCTGTAGGCATCAGTGTCCCTCTTGGAGCACTTTAACTGTTTCTAAGATCTCTGGTAGAAATGATTGTAAGAAAATGCAAAGGGAAATGTCTATATTAGTAGTATGGAGGTACATCTTCCTGTGTAGGTGGGAGAGTGTATTCTGGAAAGAAACAGAGTAAAAAATAGTGTATGGTAGAAACCTGCAGTCTTGAACTTAATACTTTGATGGTCAACGATGCAACAGCAGTTGTAACCTCAGTAGATGTGCCACATTTTATCCTCCTAGAAGCAATTTCCTCTGTGTGAAGTTTTAGTTAATAGCTGTCTGGGAAGAATCGAGTCATGGTTTGGAAGGACAAATGGGGATGCTGAACAGTATTGGAAAGGTTCAAGAGTACTCAGACAATTAGATTCAGGTAGCTTTGTTATCTTGATTCAAGCAGAAAAGAATTGACCATCAAGAAACTGGAGTGAAAACCAGAGAGGAGGCATAGCAGTTTATAACCATGAGACAAGAGAAAGAGGAAACAGTCTTTATATTTGGAAGCAGAAGGATGGGCAGATTTCAGCCAGTAGCTAGAAGATCCAGAAAGAATTCCATGCAGGATAGAAATATCTAGGTGCCTGGTGCTTAGCATGAAAGCTGCTTCAAATGTCTGAAGAGCTAGTAATGTGAATAGGATGCATCTGACAGTGGATCTTCAGCCTAATTTGCAAGGCATTCAAGTATCAAAATCTCTGATCAGAAGAAGCCAAGCTATCCTTAGAAGATACTATGCATGGAAAGGGTATAAGGTATAGCTAGACAGTAGGATAGACTGTCTTCCAACTATGAAGACATGGCATTGCAGACTTCTGAAGTTGGTAGACAAGATCGTGTGCATCTGTACTGATGATTTGTTTCACATGGTACCTTACATGTTTTTAGACTGTTTTAGGAACTTGGAAAGTGTCAAAGGAGGCTTGAGAAGGTAGAATATTCCAGAAGTAAACCTCTGTGGCTAAGTGGTATCATGTACAGGGTTCTCACTCTGTGAAATATTGGTTTGTTTTGGGCTATTGGCTACAGGGTTTGGTTCCCTCTTGCTATGGAGGAGAGTAACTTGGAGAAGAAAAGAGACTGACTGGAGTAGTCAAGAGGGCTTAAATTAACAGTAAAAAAGAAGACAAAAGGATGGGTCAACAAACAAGCATTCAGTAGTATAGAATCAAGGCATTGAGACTATTTGCTTTAATCAAGAGATACTTTGATTAATAACAAGTTTTTAATGACTTAAACACTTCTGTGAGGAGTTTAGGTAAAAACACAAGGATTTGCTTGTTTATGAACATAAATTTGAACAAGCTAGTTCTTGCTGACCCCTGATGGGGAAGCAGATGTACTCCTGATGGGAAGATTAACATGACTGGAATGTTAAATTCATAAGTTGCATTTTTTTAGGAAGGGCTGACTAGAGAAAAGGGACATGGTGCTCTGTGTCAAAAATGTTGTTTGGTACCCAACTTTTCAGTTCAGTTGTTGTAGGCTTCCATGGTTTCAAAGCAAATGATTTTAAATGAGTATTGATCAGTGTCCTAACAAATAAATCATGAGATGAAGATACTAACTAATGTCTATACAGACCACCAGATTACACCAGAGAACAGGATGCATTACTTCGTAGGTGCAGGGGTCTTAACTGGAGTGGTGTAAGTCTCATGCTGCCAGTACTAAAATGTTTATAGAATTTTTTGAGAAGCAGGATTTGCTTGGTAATGTTTTATTGAACCATCTTCACAACTGGGAGAATTGTTAGATGAACTTTTGGGTTAAAAAAAGTTCAGATACAGTCAGCACTTTAAATAGAAATCCTGCTTCTTGCATATTCACAGCCATTGGCGCCAGTTTAGATGGGCCGCAGGAGTGGTAGTCCTTGAAGAACCCAGGTAGCAGCAGGAGCATCTAGTGTACAGAGATTGCACTGTTGTAGCAGTAGCAGCAGCAGGTGGGGTCTTTGAGTCTCCAGTAAGATTCTCCTCTTCTCAGGCATCACTGCTCAGGGTGTTAAATCTGCTTGCTGTCTCTCTGATTTTTCAGGTACAACAATGCTATTACAACATGGAATTCTCAAAATTAATGATTAGTTTACTAAGTGTTGCATTCCGCTTGGGGATAGACCTTTCTTGCTAGATACTGGACGCATCTACATGAGACACTAAATGCGCAGTAGATTAATTCTACTGCACATCAGTGCATCACGGCAAAAACCATGCTATTGTGCTAATGCAGGTACTAAACTTAATGTACAGTAACCATGGCACATTAATGCAGCATTGTAGATGTGCCCACTGAGGAAGTAACAAGTAAGGTACACCTGATCATGACTTGATTTTTCCGTTTGTACATAATAAATGCCAAGACTAT